GGGGCGTGCCAAAGAGACCATCTTAGCACCAACAAAACTGGTTTGTTTCACTTTGAAGTAAGCTGTTGAGGGAAGAATCAGTTTTGTGTTGTGCGTTTCCTTAACTGATGAAGCCTTCCGGATGGAAGGTGAAACGTTTCAGCGAAAAAAGAAACTGTCCAGATGACCTGCTCGCTGAGAGGCAGCAGCTCTACCAGTTGCGCCACCGTGCTGCTCCCAGAATATTTTCACAATATTACGAAAGTAAGGTCGTAATATTACCAGAATAAAGTCATAATATATGTGAATAAAGTCGTAATTTTTTGATAATAAAGTTGTAGTTTTACGAGAATGAAATCATGATTATTATAAGAGTAAAGTCATAATATTATGAGAATAAACTCATAATATTACCAGAATAAAGTTGTTTCCAATTTGAGAAACAGCTTCGACAATTAAAGCAGCATTTTTCTCTCAATCATACCACCCTTACTGCAAACATGTAAGCTGTGCGTTGATAATTTTCTCCGTAAACATTGTATAACAGACTTGCTGCTTAGCCACTAAGCTGACAACTTTGTTAAAGCTTCCTGAGAGGATATTTCCAACTTTTTTAACACTAGAAAAGCTACAACATTCTCTCATTATATTGCACAGTATGTAAGCTATTAGGTTATAGTTGTTGTTTGCTGCTCTCTTCAGGGGTCACCACAGTGAAATAACTCGCACGAAAACATGGCAATTGTTTTTATATCGGATTCCCTTCCTGACGCAACCACAGCCCTCTGTATGGAGCAGAGAGCTGTCATCTAGGGCGCCCAGGGGAGCAGATGGTGAGGGTTAGGTGCTTTGCTCAATGGCTCATTGTGGGGCAAATTAGGGTGGAGGCAGGTGTGGGTGTTTCAACTTTTCCACCCACATTTTGATGCTGTCGGTTCGGGGTACAATTACAGATTGTATAATCTTAAACTGTTCTGATTCTTTTAAATAAATCTAATGTTTACAAGGCACAGCAGCCAGGCTACTTCTGGGACACGTGACACACTTTCTGTCCAATAGCAAAAATAAATAAATAAATAAATAAATAAATAAATAAATAAATAAATAAAACGAAAAGAACACACAACAAAAATAATCAAACTTTCACAACGACGTTTAAATAACTATTCAACATTTATATTCCTCTGATACGATGCTGTCGTCATACTGATCAAATTACAAAAGATCACTAATAGTAATGCAGTATATTTCTAATTGTTCTTTTAAATGAATGTCCAGGGGAGAGTGTGAACACAGTCCTGCACATCAAGTGTTAAGAAATCAGTCAACATGACTCCTCAGAACAACTGTAGAGGCTCCGGAGGCCTCCGCTGAACACCAGCTCTGACTACATACAAGTACTGTAAGTAGGTGCTGGTCATTAAATTAGAATATCATGAAAAAGTTGATTTATAATAATTGGTATTGGCATCAAATGTAGAAATACTGATAACAAATAACTTCTAATTCAGGACATTAACTTGAACAAGAAGGATTTTGCAACCAACTTCTAGTTCAGTAAAATGATTTGTTTTCTGGATAAAACACAACAAAAACAAAATATATAATACACTATCATATTAATTCAATTTAGTCGAATTTTTAATCCATTCTATCCGGACTTGTTATTTTGAGGATATGGCAAATCATGAGCAAGACAGATTTATTTGTATCCAACCGCAAAATTATGTATCTTGCGGTCACATCTTTCTTCCACCAGGGGGCGCTGCGGGGTTTTCAGACGGTCGTTCCTGCGGCGGCGGCGGAAGTGGAGCCGCATCGTAAAGATGGCTGACAGTGGAGTTACAGGTGATTGGAGATATGCGTAACAGTTGGGCTTTTAACGCCATATTCAGCTGTGCTGTGCCATTTAGCTGGTTGTAAAAAGGAACAATTCTGAAAACACAGCTCTTGTTTTGGAGGTGTTCAGTTTTTGCTTCTAGCGGTTTTATTTCTCTGAAATAAGCTCTGCTAATGTTAGCGTCAGTGTAGTTTGACTGCAGACCGTGATGGTGTTGCATCATTTATTTCGTTAGTATTGTTTGGAGTTACTAAACAAGTTATGGATAATTATATGTAAATAAGCAGTTTAATTGGTGTGAACACTGTAAACCTGAAGTTCAACACTAATCAAGGCGAACGCTCATGCATCCTTTGCTTGTTTCACAGATGGACACGAGAAGAAAGATATTGAACGTTCTAAGGTTTTTTTTATTTATTTAAATTTTTATAATAATTTTTACAGCCTCACGCGAGTTTGTTAATTGCAGTTATGGTAATTATATAATTTTCTGTCATCTCTCTTCTGTTTTTTTGTATAATCATATGGGACTAAATAGAGTGAAGGGAAAGAGCTGTCCAAAGAGGAGAAGCAGCGGCTGAGGAAAGAGAAGAAACAACAGAAGAAAAGCAAGGAGAAGAAAGATGACAAGGCTTCAAAAGAAGGTGGAAAAGAAAAGAAGTCAGCCACCTTAGCTGCTCCAGCACCGCAGCCTCCATTGCAGACAACAGTGAAAGGTGCATATTATTTGGATGATGCATCACTGCAGAAATCCTGAGTCGTGGCTCATTTCCTATTAATCTTCCTTCAAGGAGCCAGACTTTTGTTGTCAGAAGTGGTCGTTAAAAGTGGTTATTGTGACAAGTAGCTTTTGAAAGTAGTCTTGAGCAATAATTTCCAGACTTGCTTGTTCACTCATTTTCAGCTTTTAAAATTTAAGCTTGTAAAGCTCATGAACCAGTGTTGTATACTGGACAATTTAGCGAAGAAACAGTTTTTAAATGTTTTTTTAAGACAGCTTGTTACCAGCAGCCTGTCACAAAGAAACTATTCTAATTTTGTCCTGTAAGTCTTTGCAAAATATCAAAGATAACACGGTTTAACATATAAAATTGTATTTTAGCATCAACAAGGTGATTCCCAAATAACTAATAGCTTACAAGTTGTTACACAGCAGATGCCTCTCATGTCTGGCAGCTCTTTGTTGGATTCCCCTCCGGTTCTTAAAGGCAGGGCTTTTATCTGCTGTAAGTAGTTTTTAGGCCCGACACTTCTTGTTTTATCCTACACTTTTTTAGTTTCCTCAGTTTTTTTCAGCACACCGCAGAATATGCTGTGATGGTCGGGTACAAAAATGGGACAGAACGAGTGAAAAAGCATCCAAAGTCTGTCCATCCATCCATTATCGTTACCTGCTTCTTCTGTTTCGGGTTGCGGGGGTCACTGATGCCCATGTCCAGGCATCACTGTGTGAGAGGCGGGGTACACCCTGGACAGGCTGCAAGTCCATCACAGGACCACATAGAGACAAACGAGACAAACAACCATTCAAAGAAGTATATTTAAAGACCTTTGTAAAGCCCAAAGTACAATTAATCAAGACCGCTTTATAGTGTTACAAGAAAGTAAACCCTCAAAATATAGAGAAAACAGGAGGGATTCAAAACGGATGAACGATATCACACTTCAACTTCTAATATATTAAAGTGTTAGATTTACTATAACTACATTTTATTCTAACATTTGCATTTGCTGTTGTCAGTTCCCTCAGCAGTGCCTACTCCTGCACCAGTACCTGTGCCTGCCTCCTCTGAGGCCCCCGCCCCTGCAGACAAACCTGCCAAGACTAAGGCTGAACTGAAAGCTGAACGGAGAGCCCGACAAGAGTCTGAGAGGTCCAGTAAACAGGGCAAGAAAGGGGATCCGGGACAGCAGACTGCCTCTGGCAAACCGAAGGCACCGCCCAGTGAGCTGCAGCCAGGTACTGTTGCCCCCACAGTGAAGGATAACACCAGTAGTGACAGTCAGATAATGACACATTGAAATACTGATGAGCCATGGTATTTTATCACAGGTTCCTGGTAAGTTATAATCAACAAAACAATGACGGGGGATGTATTTCCCTGTGCCTACAACCTGCAACTTGTATAAAAGAAAACCTGCTTAGAAAAGCAGGCTGCTTAGGCTTGTCTGAACTATTCTAGTAACACTCCCGAGACCTACAGCAAAGAAAGCAAGGCCATTTTGTTTTGGCTCATTATAGCATGAGATTAAAACAAATTTTCTTTGTGTTTTCAGTGGTGAAGAGGCTCCCTGAACACGTTCAAGTGGACAACCCAGAAGTTTTAAAGAAGCTGGCTAAGAAGCTAGAAAGACAACAGGTTGGACATGTGAATACGTCACGAACACTTGGAGCAAGAGTGTTTTTTTGACTAAACATGCCTTGATTACAAGCTGTCACTGCGTAGTTTAGGAACAGATGAACTGTTTGGCTGTTTCATTGAATTGGTTAAAAATGTGAGTTTTATTGTTATTATTTAGTGTGGTTGTTGTAATTTACACAAATTACTGCACCCTTAATTACTTTATTTTACCCTTGCACACACTTGCTGTCAGTCAGAATTGTATGTGATTGTACCTAACGCTTTCTTTCAGACACCAGTTCACTGTGCTACTAAAGAGGTATCAAAGTGGGGGTTTTAAACAGTGTGTGTTATTAATATTGTCTGGTCAGAGTGTTTTATAAAAAAACTAACCCTTAATGCTTGCAGTTCAACACAGTCAGCCATTTACAGTTAGTATTTTAGGCTGTTTTTCACATCAGAGACAGAGACGCTTCTAGACGTGTTCATTTTACTGTAGCTGTTGTGTTTGCAGTGCTCGCCTCAAGCGCTGAGCTGCTTGCTGTGAAGGAGTTTGAGTTTAATCCATCCTGCTCTATTGCTAAATCATTGTCAGGTTGTGCTTCAGCAGCAAAAGAAAATCACGTAACATTATGGCTTTCTTTGTTGGTTGAGGTTTGAGAATTATTAATTTATTGCACTTTTTGTGTCAAGGTTGTTCTATAATTTGTTTGCTTTGATCTTACTTTTAGTCAGAAAAGTTGTGCGTTGTGTTGTGTGTTTCAGATCCCGCTACGCTCAGACTACGGCTACAAAGTCAGCTTATTTTCTCACCTCCACCAGTACAGTCGCAAAGCCCCTCTAACACAACAACTCAGGTAAATCTGGTTGCACTCCATAAAGAGTAGCAGGCTGGAGAGTTTTAGCCTTAATTCCCTCAAATGGCTTTTTGTCTTGTTGATGAATATTATTTTTGTTGCTGTTTGCAGCATTCCTTCAACAGTGATTCATCCTGCTATTGTTCGACTGGGCCTTCAGTATTCCCAGGGCATCGTGGCGGGGTCAAACGCTCGCTCTGTTGCTCTGCTTCACGCCTTCAAACAGGTGCTCTTCCATAAAGTATAGACCTGTAAAAACATACCCATTAAATGGACTGTACATTCATACAGCACTCTACTAGATCTCTACAAAGAATAATCAGTGCATTATCACACTCATACATCAATGGGACACACATCGGAGGCAAAGAGGGGTTCAGTGTCTTGCCCAGGGACACGTCGACATGTGACTGCTGGTGGAATCGAACCTCCAACTCTTGCATTGGAGGACAACTTTTCTAACCACTCAGCCACGTGTTAAGAGTAATTTGTAATTAAGATGGCATCAACTATCATTAGTAAACAATCCTGTTTAAACGATCTAAAGACATTTCAGACGTCCGCCCTACTTGATGTTTCACAGACATGGTACTTCTGTACAGACAAACTGCTTTTTTCTGGCAGACAGATTGATTGAGGTGGGAATGTTTTCTGAGCCACTAGGTGTTGCTGTTTTCTCCAAGAACTTGTAAACGCTACTTACAAAGTTAGAACAAAACATGCTTTCTCTGATTAAGTTTGAAGCTTGAATTTAGACTGAAATCAGACCTAACAAACTGATTTAGAAAACTGGACTTAATTTTTGATTCTTGAAGATGTTTTGCTTCTTCGGATATTTTGTTCCTCGGATGAGAAGCCAAACATCTGCAGGAGTCAAGAAAGAAGTCCTGTTTAGAGAATTTAACAGCAGCAGTTTGATATCAAATCTTCGTTAGTTACCCCATTATTTTTTTTTTTATCATCAGGTAATAAGGGACTATACTACACCTCCAAACGAAGAGCTATCTAGAGACTTGGTCAATAAGCTGAAACCTTATATCAGGTAAAAAAAAATCAGTTTAGCCATGAATGTTTACGTAACTATTAGTTTTATTCAGAAATGCCACTCTGTGTTAATAGTTTAATATTTTGTAAACCAAACAGCTGATTTCCACTCCTTCAGTACATTAAAAATAATAATTAGCCTTTTGTTTTTGCAGTTTCTTGAATCAATGTCGTCCTCTGTCAGCCAGCATGGGAAACGCAATCAAATATGTCAAGAAAGAGATCTCCAATATTCCCAGTCAATGCAAGGAAGAGGAGGTTGGTGTGTGCATTGCTACGTTACAGGTTTTAAAGCGTCACACATATCCGGTTCTGGACTGCGGTCTATGAGGGCAGCTGCAGTCCTTATTAACATCACGCTGAGGACCGGACCTGCTGGCAGGACCTGCTAAGCTGCTAACAAGACCATGCCGCTAATAGAACCATGATGTTAAAAGAACCTCACTGCTAACAGATCACACTGTAGATGTATTTCTTTTTCAACTTTGGCACCTTGCTTTATTTGTTATTTCAGTAGTATTTTTGATTGTTTTTAGTATGTTAGTACTTTAGTAGTATATTTTAGTATGTTAGTAGTCTTTATTATGTTTTTTTTAGTATGTTATTAGTATTTTTTATTATGTTTTTTAGTATGTTAGTACTTTAGTAGTATATTTTAGCATTTTTTTTAGTATGTTAGTAGTCGTTTTATTATGTTTTATAGTAGGTTAGTAGTATAATTTTATTGTTTTTAGTATGTTAGTATTTTTAGTATGTTATTAGTATTTTTTATTATGTTTTTTAGTATGTTAGTATTTTTTGTATGTTTTTTAGTATGTTAGTATTTTTAATGTTTTTTAGTATTTTTAGTAGTATTTTTATTATATTTTTTAGTATGTTATTAGTATTTTTTTATGTTTTTAGTATGTTAGTATTTTTTAATGTTTTTACTATGTAAGTATTTTTAATGTTTTTAGTATGTTATTAGTATTTTTTAATGTTGTTTAGTATGTTATTAGTATTTTTTTTAATGTTGTTTATTTTGTTAGTATTTTTTATTATGTTTTTTATTATGTTTATATTTTAGTAGTATATTTTAGTACTTTTTTGTATGTTAGTATTTTTTATGTGTTTTTAGTATGTTAGTAATATTTTTTTAGTATTTTTAATGTTTTTTTATTATGTTAGTATTTTTTATTATTATATTTAAGTATGTTATTAGTATTTTTTTAATGTTTTTAGTATGTTATTAGTATTTTTAATGTTGTTTAGTATGTTAGTA